TTTTAATCCCTAATAGAATTATGAATTTAATTAAACTGCCATATTCTCTCCATCGAGCACAAAATGCTTCCACAGCTGAACGGCGAACAAGGTATATGACCTGATTCTGCTCTCGACTCACAGTCGGAAATTCCAGGTTCGAATCCCGGGCGGGACAGAAATAATTGGGCGCGTTTCCTATAACCTATAATGCCCCTGTTCACCTAGCAGTAAAATAGGGCCCCAGGAGATAGCCATAACTGCATTTTGGAGAGTGATCAGTAATTCAATCTTCGGTGTGGGAGGAGGAAGGGAACCTTGATATAAGCCTAACATGTTTATATATACTGGCTGCCTGTCCCCCCCCCCTCGACACAATGATTTATTATGAATTATTCATGTAATATTCATTCTCGCCTACGATAACGTTAGCAGAGACAGCCGATAACCTTAATAACACCGTACTGGGCTTTCATAAACAGAATGAGAATATGATATCTTGTAGAAAATATGATATCTTGTAGAAAATATGATTAATATTATTGCTGCTGTTGTTCTTGTTGTTATATTTGTACACTAAATCTTCCTTTGATTGTTACAAAGTATGATTTGCTATAATATATATATATATATATATATATATATATATATATATATATATATATATATATATATATATATATATATATATATATATATATATATATATATATATATAATGGATTTTATTTGTTAGCGTCTATAACGTTAAAAGTAAACACGGTATTCAATGAAAAGTAGGTAGATTCATCCCTACAAAATGTCCCGAATCTAATACCAAGCTGAAATGAATTTGCTATGTATTCTAGTGTATATTATGTATAGTGATGTACATACTTTGTATATTATGTACACAATACATATACAGTTGTACATACTATGTGTACTGATGTGCATATTACGTATACTGATGTACACAGTATGTATACTGATGTACACAGTATGTATACTGATGTACACACTATGTATACAGATGTACATACTGTACTGTGTACCTATGTACATCCTATGTATCCTGATATACACACTGCATGCGCACACGATGCGTATCTTGAATAAAGCTTACGACGCAATAAAGTGTGCGTCGTACAACTGGAACTTTTTTGTGTACATGTTCACACCTGACTGAATACCCACAGGGTATAAGATACAATTGTATGGTGAATACCCCCAGGTGAGTAGGGTATAAGATACAATTGTATGGTGAATACCCCCAGGTGAGTAGGGTATAAGATACAATTGTATGGTGAATACCCCCAGGTGAGTAGGATATAAGATACAATTGTATGGTGAATACCCTCAGGTGAGTAGGATATAAGATACAATTGTATGGTGAATACCCCCAGGTGAGTAGGGTATAAGATACAATTGTATGGTGAATACCCCCAGGTGAGTAGGGTATAAGATACAATTGTATGGTGAATACCCCCAGGTGAGTAGGGTATAAGATACAATTGTATGGTGAATACCCCCAGGTGAGTAGGGTATAAGATACAATTGTATGGTGAATACCCTCAGGTGAGTAGGGTATAAGATACAATTGTATGGTGAATGTATTGGTTAGTGTGCCCTATAGGCGATGATTTGGGAAATGAAAGAATCAAAATATATATATGGGTATAGGCGGGCATTGCCAGAGTCACGTGGCTCTTTCACTTGTTATGATATTAGCGTACGAGGATATGTATGATATTTCATACATATCCTTGGTTCGCTTGTGTTGTGTCGCCTTATTTTACCTGTATGTTATGGTAGGGTGAGGCTGCGTTAGGCTAGGAGTGAGGGTGCGTTAGGCTAAGGTAAAGCTGTTAGGCTAAAGTAAGGCTGTTAGATACATTGATATCTGATTTACTTATGTTTCATATTGACTGTGTTAAAGTTTTGGTGCAAGACGGGTTAGATTGGCGTGTCCAGGCGTAGCAACACAATACAAAACCATTGGATTCCATGCATGAACAAGAACTAATCAGTGCATGTCATCTTCAAACCTCATTCTTACAATATGAGATGCGTTCATTTCTCAAGTCTTTACCAAATATAAGTGTATTTAGCTTCACCCACCATCCTAACTCAATCAGGCTCCCTCGCTCAGATGTCGCTGAGAAACTGAATTTAAAATAACAGTTTTGGGCTTTTAAAGGTCTGATTTCCGTGCTATAGGAGGTCCTCAGGCTGCACTAGTTGGGCAGTGTCTGAGTAAATATTTCCATTTGTTTGCTCAAAACATGTGAAATTTGGACGAGTCATGGAGAGATAGCATGTTCGCTAAGGCATGAATCTCAATATCTCTTTCTCTCTCTCTCTCTCTCTCTCTCTCTCTCTCTCTCTCTCTCTCTCTCTCTCTCTCTCTCTCTCTCTCTCTCTCTCTCTCTCTCTCTCTCTCTCTCTCTCTCTCTCTCTCTCTCTCTAAGACTAAATAACGAGAAGACAATTTATATTGTCGATATAACTTTCATAATGATTGGAAATAATTTATGCCGATTCGAGAAAATTCAAAAAATAAAAATTAAAGATAACCTATATTGACTCAATATATTGTAATTATTAAACCGTGCGATAACTGTAGGTTAGATAACCTACATAACTTTCTCAAGATAACTAGACTTTTTATAAGCAGTTGATGTTCTTTTGCAAGTAAAGTAATTATCAGGAGAGAGGACGCCAAGCCAACACGACTATATAAGCACTAGGAAAGTATACAACGACTATATTCACCTCGTCATATACACTATATGACAAGGGGGCCAGATTCACGAAGCAGTTACGCAAGTACCTACGAACCTGTCCATCTTTTCTCAATCTTTGGCGGCTTTATTTACAATTATTAAACAGTTAATGAGCTCTGAAGCACCAGGAGGCTGTTTATAACAATAACAACAGTTGATTGGCAAGTTTTCATGCTTATAAAATGTTTAATAAATGTAACCAAAGCCGTCAACGATTGAGGAAAGATATACACGTTCGCAAGTGCTTGCGTAACTGCTTCGTGAATCTGGCCCAAGGTGACGGAACGGTTCCCAATTGCTTGGACCATCAGGGATCGAACACCGGCCCTGCAAGACACTCACTCACCTTCACTGGGAAAGTGAGGTATCCATGCTCGCATACAACAGTCCAGATGGAGCACATTAGAGATTTCAACAGCTGGATAACCACTTTCCTTTCCTTAAAACGAAGATTTGTTTGTTTATGCTTCATATACGATGTTCGGTTCAATGTAACATCCATGGTGGATGGTCGACGACCGGGCCGCGGGGACGCTAAGCCCCGGAAGCACCTCAAGGTAACCTCAAGGATGATGTCACTTAATGCTCGGTGTTCGAAAATAACCAATAACCCCATGATAACTTCCCAATGGGCACGATATCCAAGAGTTGGATATTGTGGATATCTACTGTTGGATATCTACTGTTGGTTCGATGTTGAACGAACGCTAATTTAACGATGATACGTAGTTGAATTGACGTTGAGTAATGTACCCATTGGGTTGTAGTCCCATATTAGTTAGCGTTGAGTAACTCAAGTTGTAAACAGAGCATGGCTCTTGACGCTAATGCTTTCCCCTCTTGAGTATGTGTGATTTCTCATCTGTCAGGCTTCATTTGTTTCTCATATGGTTTTAACACTAGAATACCTAGGAATATCATGATATTTGTTCGTTGTATGTTCCTGTAGCTATCTTGAGGTTATCTTGAGATCATTTCGGGTCATTTTGAGCTAGCTATCGGGTCTGTTATCATATAGAAAGATACAAAGCGAGATGGGATGCACACACATACATACAGAGATCATTCCAAAAAACTCATCTAGCTTTACGCATCAATTATAATTTTAATTTCCTGTTGAGATACTTGTATTACTTTGAAAGTGCTGGGACTAATTATATCCAGAATATACCACTTTCTTTTCCGAAAACCTTGTGTATATAACATTACTTATTTACTTAATATTTATATAACTATTAATATTTATATAACTATTAATATTTATATGTATTAATATAATCTACTGTTTGATAACTTTGGCAATAATAATAATAAGAAAACTGTTAAATAATTATTATAATCAGTAGAAATAATCATCATATCAGCAATAATTATGTGTTTAATATTTTTTATTAACATTATTACCTAATATGAATTAAAATGAAAATTATTATAATTATAAAACAATTATATCACAATAATTATTCAAATTATAATAACTTTGCCATGAAGACAACTTTCTCATCAATATTAATGATAAAAATAATAATTTGAATATAGCATTAATAATAATCTTATCAATTAACATTTGATAAATTTAATAATGTAATATTAATAAGAATGTTAATAACTTTCTTATGACCATTACAAATATAAATAACAATTGAAAAATAACTGAGAAAAATCTTTAAAAAAATATATAATAATTTGATTATAAATAATAATAATGACAATTAAAACCCAATAACATTTAAATATAATTAAAATGATACAATGTAATTATTTTAATAAGTAAATAATAATTAAAAATGCCATATTAATAATAGTATTAATAAAATTAGTTAATAATAATAATGATAATGATAAAATATTAATCGTATTGAAAAATATACTGATAAATACGTTTTATTTAAATATTGATACATATATTAGCAATTATGGTTAGCCCCAAAAAATCGCATTACTGAAGCATCAATCAGCTAGTCAAACATCGGCCGTACGAGCCAACATTCGCTACATAATTTATCTGTCACAAAATATTTAACAAGGGATAAATGCTATATATCTAGAACCGTCTTCAGATTAGATATAAGAATGTAGTCAAGGAATGTGGGAGAATGGGGTTGGTTCTCAGAGCGGAACCACCCGCGGAGTAGGTTGAGCTTTATATATAATATGGGGGAGAGAGTGGAGGTCTAGCTGAGTTTGCTTGTAGTCGCGGAAGAGCTAAGACATTGTTCAGAGAGAGAGAGAGACAGAGGCAGACACCCGCGCGCCGCCGCCACGTTCCCATCTCCCGCCACCCACCGACTGAGCCTCGCCCGCGCATGCGCATTCTCTACCACTCCTTCAAAACTCTTCTAAACCCTCTTTTTCTGCCATTCTCTCTCTAATTCAATAACCACAGTCCACTTTTAAGGCCCATCGCGGACTTCTGTTCTTTATTTCGCGGCTGTTTGAATAATTCTGAAAGGAAAAATGAGGTTTGAGAAGAATGAGAATATATACAGAGAATTGCTGGAACGGAGTGGGCTGCCGATCAGGCAGTCTGACAAAATGGCTTCGAGGGATAGTACGACATCGTTCACCGACGACCAACTAGAGGAATTGTGCGAAACATTCAATACGGTAAGTAAACTACAGTAACCAACGATAACGACCAACACTCCATCTATAGAGCCGCGTAGCCGTTGAGGCGCTACGACACGTCATATAACAGCTATTCAACTCCCTAAAAATGTAAAATCCCAAGCCATGGGGCGAGGCTGGGATCTTCCATTTGAATCCCAGCAGGTGTGATAAGCTCAGATAACACAGCCATGACGAAACGCCTCGAATAACAGCGTTGTCAAGCTCACACGAAGCCAATTTACCCTCCAATCTCCCCTTCCGGAGAGCAAGGTGTGCTGCGAGAGGCCTTAAGACGTGAACAAATCTTTTAAGACGTCGGGGTAGGCTCAAAGGTCCCATCTTCCCGGCACAGGAAATTAAGCCTCCAGGACCCACTTGCCAGGCCTGGAGACTCGGGCCAAACTCGGCCTATGGGGTTTATATGGAGGGTTTAAGTCATGGTTTGGCCGCCAGTGGCTGGTTGGGTTGGGGTTTTGGGGTGGGTGGGTGTGTGTAGGGGTTTGGGTCTTGGGTTGTGTGTGTGTGGGTCCTGGAGTGTGTGTGGGTGTAGGGATTTTGGGTCCTAAAGTGTGTATGTGTGTGTGTGGGGGTTTTGGGGGTCTTGGGTTGTGTGTGTGTATAGGGATTTGGGTCTTGGGTTGTGTGTGTGTGTGTGTGTGTGTGTGTAGGGATTTGGGTCTTGGGTTGTGTGTGTGTGTGTAGGGATTTGGGTCTTGGGTTGTGTGTGTGTGTGTGTGTAGGGATTTGGGTCTTGGGTTGTGTGTGTGTAGGGATTTGGGTCTTGGGTTGTGTGTGTGTGTGTAGGGATTTGGGTCTTGGGTTGTGTGTGTGTGTATAGGGATTTGGGTCTTGGGTTGTGTGTGTGTGTGTAGGGATTTGGGTCTTGGGTTGTGTGTGTGTGTAGGGATTTCGGTCTTGGGTTGTGTGTGTGTGTGTGTGTGTGTGTAGGGGTTTTGGGTCCTGGGGAGTGTATGTGTGTGTGTGTGGGTGGGTTTTGGGGGTCTTGGGTTGTGTGTGTGTGTTGGTCCTGGAGTGTGTGTGTGTGAGAGTAGGGTTTTGGGTCTTGGGTTGTATATGTGTGTGTTGGGTTCCTGGTGTGTGTGTGTGTATGTGTGTAGGGGTCCTGGGTGTGTGTGTAGTAGTGGTCTTGGGTTGTGTGTGTGTGTGGGGTGGTCCTGGGTTGTGTGTGTGTGTGTGTGTGTGTGTGTGTGTGTGTGTGTGTGTGTGTGTGTGTGTGTGTGTGTGTGTGTGTGTGTGTGTGTGTGTGTGGGGTGGTCCTGGGTTGTGTGTGTGTGTAGGATGTAGCCTGGAATGTGTCTGGGTGTTTTGTGTGCATTCCCTCCCTGGTGTGTGTGTGAGTTCCCCCTGGTGTGAGTCCCCCTGGTGTGTGTGTGAGTCCCCCCTGGTGTGAGGTCCCTTAAAATAAGTGTTTGATCCTAGTAAGTGTACCCTGGTGTGTACTCACCTAGTTGTGCTTGCATGGGGTGTTTGAGCTTTGGCTTTTTGGTCCGCCTACCCTAGTGTGTTTTTTACCCCCATGCGAGTTCTCTGGTGTTTTCCCCTAGTTGGTGTTTTACATTTAGCTGCTCAGAACGAATGTCCATGTAGCACGGGCTATAGTGATCCCGTAATAACCCCCTGGTGTAAATTCTCCCCTTTTAAGTGTTTCCGCCCTGTGGTATGTATTTCCGTAGACTGTACTAGCAGAGAAAAGTGAATTTCATATTTCAGGAATTAGCTTAATATTGCTGTGTTGTGTCGAAGATGTATCAATATACGAAAGTACTTAAGGAAATTCCTGTTTCAATTTTCCTCCGTGGCTTGACACTGTCATTATATATATATATATATATATATATATATATATATATATATATATATATATATATATATATATATATATATATAAGATATAAAGTGATGTCTTATAAAGAAACGGAGGTTAATCGTGAGATAAATTTCTAGGGCCATGCTTATAGGTCTATATTATCAGGACGTTCTCTAGGATGTATATAGTATGTGACCGTTACTGTTGGCTTAGACCAAATAAATGGTTTATCTGTTGGATAGAGAAGTAATTATCAAACGAAGGCATAGTTGTATAGAGACCGGACATCGCTAGGAAATACCGGCTTGTGATAGAAGTAGACAGAGTCTGGCGCCTTCATTTTTTACTGTATTCTGTATTGTTTACTGTATATTATTATATCATTTGCTGTATCCTATACTGTTGCATTTTTTGTCCTCTCGTTCGTTGGTATTAGGTACGTAGCCTATTGTAATATTTCAATTGTACGTATTTCGATTGCACGTATTTAGGTACGTAGCCTATTGTAGTATTTCGAGTGTGAAGTTGCATTCGATGCGTACAGTGGTATCAGACCTATACAGTGGTACTCATCTGGTACAGTGGTATTCGGTTTGTAGAGTGGCATTTTTACATGTTCATTGGTGTTCAACTTGAACAGTGATACCGAGCTGGTAATGTATTGTTTTACAAGGGGATTTGGCTTGTATATTGTTACAGTATTTGGGTTGTACAGTTGTGTATGGTTTGTAATGTATATTTACCTTATAGTAATATTTTACCTTTTCCTAGGTAATCTTCATGTATGTTAAAATTCGGATTGTGCAACTTGTAAACTTATATTCGACGTATTTTGCTTGTAAAGTGGTACTCGTCTGATACGTGGACATTGAGGAAGCACAATGGCGCTTGTCCTGTATAGCTGTATGTGGATGAAAAGTCACAATAACGTATTGTGACTTGTTACATAGTAACGCATTTAAACGTCACCATAACATATTGTAATGATATGTAGCTTGTACAGTGGTACCTAAATGGGAAAGCCGTGTCTGTTTAGCTTGTATATCCGACGGGTTGATAATGGCTTTTGGGCTAGTACAGTTGTACCGGGTTTGCTGGTACAATGGTATTTAGCCTGTACACTAAAACTCGCCCAGTAGAGGTATTCGGTTTATATATTGGTACACTAATGGTACAGTGGACCATATTGAATACTTCATACCCAAGACTCTACTACAAATTAGAGGTATTGTCAGGCAACATCACCGTGACAAGGTAACTGAGGAAAGGAGGATAGAAGCACAAACCAGTGAATCTGTACGATGGTACAACATGGTTGCAGCTGGCAATCCCAATCATTATGACCGAAGAGGAGGACGACGAGGGAGAGAATCAGTCAGTGGTGTTCTTAAATTCTCACCTCCTATATTTCTTAAGTAAAAGGAAGATTCAGCGTTTCTTCTTACCCTAGTTAGGCGAACAAATGGGATGTTTATGGCTGGCAATAAGGAGTTTATCGGGCACGAGGGATTCTGGTACTTTTGGTGGACATTTATCTCATTGATTCCAGTACGAGGGGGCCTCGTAGCCTGGTGGATAGCGCGCAGGACTCGTAATTCTGTGGCGCGGGTTCGATTCCCGCACGAGGCAGAAACAAATGGGCAAAAGTTTCTTTCACCCTGAATGCCCCTGTTACCTAGCAGTAAATAGGTACCTGGGAGTTAGTCAGCTGTCACGGGCTGCTTCCTGGGGGTGGAGGCCTGGTCGAGGACCGGGCCGCGGGGACACTAAAGCCCCGAAATCATCTCAAGATAACCTCAAGATGGGGGATGTTTCTTGTCTCGAATGTTTACACGTGAGGGTGGGTTAGGGGACGGTGTTTTGAACAGGATGTGTTTATGTGTTGGTGGGCGGGATGGAACCAAGGTGGTGGTGGGGATAGATGAAGATGGTGGGTGGGAATAGATCAAGATGGTGGGTGGGGATAGATCAAGATGGTGGGTGGGGATAGATCAAGATAGTGGGTGGGGGATAGATCAAGATGGTGGGTGGGGATAGACCAAGATGGTGGGTGGGGATAGATCAAGATGGTGGGTGGGGATAGATCAAGATGGTGGGTGGGGATAGATCAAGATGGTGGGTGGGGATAGATCAAGATGGTGGGTGGGGATAGATCAAGATGGTGGGTGGGGATAGATCAAGATGGTGGTGGGGATAGATCAAGATGGTGGGTGGGGATAGATCAAGATGGTGGGTGGGGATAGATCAAGATGGTGAGTGGGGATAGACCAAGATGGTGGGTGGGGATAGATCAAGATGCGTGGGATAGGATTATGGTGGTGGGTAGGATAGGTCCAAAGTGGTGGGCGAGATATGACCAAAGTGGTCGGTGGGATATAGTGACCAAGATGGTGGGTGGGGGGAGGGTTAGGGTAGGGATTAAGGTGGGGGTTGGGGGGGGGACTTGCAAGGTATGACTTGCCCCACGGCGAACTGCCAGACTGTCCACGTGGGGGCAAGACCCAGTCAATCCTCTCACTCCTAGGCACTACGCTTGCCCGCCTTCCCCCCCCCCCCCCAGAACAAGCTTTTTGAAATATTTCTTGAGTGTACACTCTTGGTGGGTAGCAACAGCAGATCTCCCCCTCCCCCTGTGGGGGTTGTATATAGAGGGCCTGTAGGAACATAGGAGGGGAGAGGGCGGTACACCGGGATCGAAAGCGGGGCTGTGAAGAACATCTCAGCCCGGGAGAGAGATAGCTTAAGGTAATGTGTGTGATCTCTGAGTTTTTGTTCCATGTCCAAATTTCTTAACTTTTTGCCAGTGTTAGTGTAGCATTTATAAGTAGTGATTGACATAATTTTGGTCTCAATAAACTCGTTAAATTTCCCGTCTGTGTCAATTGTTGAATCCTCTTAGCCTTTTGGATATAGTGGCTGACAACCGTTTTCATAATTTATAACAGTCATAGAAAGTACTCTCCTAGTCAAGCAATGTTTCTTGCCTCGTTGCTTGATATAGTTTCAATGGTCAAAGGCAGATGGTGGCAGCGTATTTAATCCTTGTGTTAGCATTTCCTTATTGGCAGTGTACCTTTGGTTCCGGTGTAACCATCATATGTCAGCTCATAACAGTGCTATCAAGTGCAACCGATGAGGAAGTGTTACTCAGGATAGTTAGTGTTCCATT